GCTAAGCTTATCCATTAAAAAAAAAAAAAACAAAAAAAAAAAAAACACACACAACAAAAACCAATCAAAACTTATTTTCCACAACATTTTATTTTATTTAAAAACAATTTTACAAAAGTAAAGTTGTAGTTGCCCAAGAGAATCTTTCAAGTTTACAGGATTCTCATCATTTTATGACTACATTTTCATCCACTTATGTCTTACTTTTCTCGTAAAAAATGGTTTGACTTCATTTTGAATGGTACGTATCATTGTGGAGAACGAGGGAACTGCAGTTCACAATGAAACAAATGATCTCTTCTTGAATGTTTAATTACAAATTCATATTTCATTTATTTATTGACCATTTTATTGGGATGATTATTTTTGTGTTACCATGACTATTTTTCGTCTCACTTTTTTATGTCCAATGGGCAGCACTTTGATCCAGCTTAATTTGACGTGACGTGAGGGGTGAAATAGTAAAAGAAGAGTTGCTGTAAAAAGTTAGCAGTGACATATCCCGAAAATGTTTGAATGTTGGCGTTCATGAGTAAATGGGTTCATAGATGGTCAACAATGAGCCTGAGGTCAGGATGGACATTTTGCATCATAAGGACCCTGAAATTCAGCATGTTTTCACCGACATTGTCGTGACTGTGACTCCACCACATACTTATCGATGGTGCCGGCCATGAAGTAGACCATCGGGAAGCAGCAAATGGCCTCTAAGAAGTGGTTGTCTGGGCTGAGGTAAACAGGAAACATCACCGGTTAGCAAGCCGCATGAATCCTGGATCACTTTTGGAGAAACCCGGAGACATTTTGAGAGGAACTTCCTGAAGTATTCAAACTGTGATCGCTCCCTTGTTGGCACCCTATTCATGTATTTTATTTTTCCAGTTAACTCCCGTTATTCACGGGGAATCGGGCAGAATAGCAAAAATCTGCTTTTGATTGCCTATGAAAGCCAAAAGATGGAGGCAAAGCACTACATTTGTCTATATGTAGCCCCTTAACTTCACGACTTAGTTCCTGGGCACCAAGGTGCCATCAAAGCACTACGTTTATCTAAATGAAACACCTCAATTGACTGTGACATAGTTCCTGGCCAACAAGATGCCACAAGATGGTGACAAAGCACTACATTTGTCTAAATGAAGCTCCTCAACTCACATCATAGTTTTTTTTTTTAGACACCAGGATGCTATCAAAGCACTATGTCTGAATGAAGCACCTCAATTCACTGCGACATAGTCCCTGGGCAACAAGATACCACAAGATGGTGACAAAGCACTACATTTCTCTCAATGAAGCTCCTCAACTCACATCAAGATAGTTCTTTGGCACCAAGATTTCAGAAAAGCGCTATTTAAGAGGAGAGGTACACCCTGAAACGAATGTTTGCCATTGGCATCAAGAGAGAAACACTCAGACTTACATTCGGAGCTCTGGAGAGCAACACAACTTACGGGTAGTCCAGCAGAAGCACAATGGGGTTGAGCTCCTTCCGGGGTCGGTAGTACGCTCGGAGGGGGACGATGAAGTTGTACAAACCGTTGCCCGCCGTCTCAGCAGACACGATAATCAGCTTGTTCTTGAAGCCGTACGCTTTGGCATCTTCGAAGCTGTTGTGCGTACAGCCCTGCGAGGCGTCATCACATGTGAAGTGGAAGTTGTACTCGCGTTGATCTTCGTGCGTGTGCGTGACAAGTCACTCACCTTGTCAAGGCGCAGGCAGCAAAATGGCGCCTTCTGCGGAAGGAGGTGGCACAGTGTCGGCGAGCTGCCGATGTAGGGAGAGTTGGGAGGGTAGCCCTTCACGAAACTGCCGAGACGGGAAGCAAGATGATGAAATGATGTGACAGTAGATCAAGTCGAATGCCCTCAAAGTGGTGCAAATTTGGATCTCAACCAAAATGCTGTGGATCAAATATGCCTCAACAGTCGTGCAAAACTCAGTGAGCATTTTTCTTTCCGGCACAGCCAAGAAGAGAAGTGTTTCAATATTTTTCCACTGCACTGAAGATTCCACTGCAATAAAAAATTGTGTATACGTAATCGTTCACATAATGTCCTGTCGCATAGGGAGACTTAATCGTCTCCCTGATCAACGCACGATGGCACTGTGGTGCTTTCAGGCATGAGCATCCAGAGAACTCATAAAGATGAATTACTATCCAGGCACCGAGAAAATAAACAAGCAAGGAAATCCATTTACCATACTTAGACAAATAAATGTAATGAGGCAATGTGGTTTATATTCTTTGCGGAACATTTAGTTTGATATATGGCCAGGCAGACGAATTCAACGATGCTGTCGGCGTGGAATATACGTGAACAAAATAAGAAAACAAGTTTTTGCGAAGAGACATATTTTATGCACAACCCCGATGCCTCAAACATCTGAACAGTCCTTATCTTCTATAAAATACGAACAGCATGAAAATGTGCTTTGGAAATCATGTACAGTTTATACAAATATCACCAGAGTAACAGTTTTACATTTGACAAACTTTACAAATTATTTGCACGCTATTTATTAGTGGTAGTATTTAGTAGTGTGTGTGCATGCATCATACCATGCTCTCGATCAATCAATTTCCAGAGGTCTGCATTGCTAACAAGCGTCAAGCACTAATGTGTCCACTGGAACTACTGAATCTATATGACGGTTTTTAGCTTGAGTGATCACGGCAATGATGAGCGTGGAGAGTGGCGGCCTTTCTAACCTGCTGAACTCTGCTACTGTCTAAGTGTTTGCCCGACTGATAAACGATCATTGAGATGGAAAGTCTACCCTGTGTGTGCTAAGCTTGTGGATGAGCTGCAACGCATGATAGGAAGTTCTGCCCTTCCTTTCACGGCACGTGTTCATCATTGTCAGGGTCGAAGCCTTTCATCACCATGACACACCGATTACACGCCAAGCTCATCTATCTCACCTTACAGGTCCCCGTGACACCTGAAGAGGTGGAGGACATCAATCCTTTAGTGTGTCTATTATGCTAGGCTGAGGCTATAGGGACTATATGAGCAGATGTAGTGGGTCTGCATCACAGAAGCGGAATTTATGACCAACCGCGCCGCTTACTCTGACCCGACGGAGCCCTCCTCATCCGATTGGTTGGTCTCGTCTTCCGACTGGTCGCTGAGGAGGTCGCACGGCAGAATGGCGGAGGAGTCCGCGATCTCGAGGACCGGCGCGATGCTTGGCCTGCGGCTACCGGCGCCGTTCTCCGTCGGTAAGGTCAGCTTACTGGTTTCTTCGGGGGGATCCGGGTTCTGGAGGTCAATGGCCACGGTGCCTGGACGCAACACGCACATCACTAACGACTTAGTCACATCACGACGTGCGCTTGACTGGCTGTCAACATCAATTAACACACAGCCATTTAATCTCTTGTGAACATTGTCAACTGTAATCCTCTTGCAACATACTCAGGAGCGGTGATGCATGCAGAATATAATGACTCGTATTTGTTAACAAATACTGTGATGCTGAGGAGCTACCGTTGGGTCTGTCCCATGCAATGAAAAAATGGCACTAATACATTTATGGATTGCAAACTGCACTACAGCTGTAGGAGGTGATGTGTTCTGCACAAACTTACCATATGAAGTGGCCTGATCAACTTTTATAGATCAAAGAAAAAAAAAAAGCACAAGACAATGAAGTCAGCCAGGAAAGTAAAAAAAAAAAAAAAAAAAAAAAAAAAAAGCATGGAAGGAAAACGATCATGCACAAGTGAGCAAAAGCATCAGCACTTGCAGCCGCAATGCATTTACACTGAACGCCATTCAATCTTCAACGGATCATGCCGCTCTCACCCATGCTGGCAATGATGCTGTGCACGGGCAGCCTGGAGGGGGCGTCGTAAAGCCCGGCGACGGACAGGCTCTTGTTGTGCTTCTCCTCCTGTTTGAAGATGAAGGCTGAATTCTCCTCCTTGGTGATGTTGATGTAGTAGCAGGTGTCGGTGGCGGCCATGATGTGGCGCGGGCCGGGGTTCAACAGGATGCTCTTGTTGTCCTCCCGCTTAACCCCGATCAGGCACACGCCGTACCTGGCAGACCGCAAGTGCAAACAAATGAGAGCCAGTGCGAGAGCCAACCAAGCTACACAACTATGACCACAAAGCAACGAACGGGGAAATTCATCTTCATGATGCTGGAAAGGGGCGATTGTATAAACTGTGCAGGATGGTATCGAAGTGTCAAAATGACCCCGAGCAAGTTTTGCTTACTTCTTATGCGCATGGAAGGAGGCGTAAGTGAAGCTCTTGCCATCATATTCCCCAAAAAACTTGCTGTCACACAATCGGATGTGGTAGACCTCGTTGCCTGAGCAGCGCCCGTACATCCTTTGCCACTGCTCCGGTGACAACTGACCTTCCCTGAAGAAATATTGGCAGAAGGGTGATTTCAGTGACTCTTTCAGAGATGATTGATTTGTGAATGATTTTAAAGGGGGTGAGGTGAGGGGGGGGGGAGTCAAAGTGACGTGTCATTGCCAAGTCAGCAGAAGTGAAATGGATCTTTTCTTCTGTGGACAATCGATCAGATATATGGTTCATCTTCAGTGTGAAACGCAGCTGGATTTAGAACCTGACTATGAAGGGTGGAAGAGTTGCCGTGATGAGATTCTCATCGGAAATCGGGTGATTTCAGTGACTCTTTCAGAGATGATTGATTTTTGAATGATTTTAAAGGGGGTGAGGTGGGGGGTGGGGAGTCAAATTGACGTGTCATCGCCAAGTCAGCAGAAGTGAAATGGATCTTTTCTTCTGCAGACAATTGATCAGATATATGGTTCATTTTCAGTGTGAAACGCAGCTGGATTTAGAACCTGACGATGAATGGTGGAAGAGTTGTCGTGATGAGATTCTCATCGGAAATCACCATGAAGAAAATAACTTGAAGGATGTACAAGCATTCTGCTGCTGTAATGAATAGCTGTCATTGATCGAGAATGGATGTCACTGTAACGAATGGGCCTACTGAACCAAGAAATCAAATCCTAGCAACCTGGCTCAGCTACAACATAACACTTTTTAATACAATCATATTCATAGTCCGGGCACCCTAACGCAAATATCGACAAGTGCAATCGAACGGAGATGGAGTCACAGAAGTGTTTGCGCACTTACTGTCCTCTGGAGGTGTGAACGAGGAGCGTCACTAAGGTGGACATGGCCGGACACACGCAGTTCAGTGCAAGCATGGCGTACTTGAATTCCTCTTCACATACGACGTGATCTGGAAATGCAGACGGTAGGGAAATAATTGGTAGGCACAGAATTGGATAGCCTTGTCATTCCAACAATAATTGAGTTAAAAATGGAAGGGAGAGCAAGCCTTTCTTCTCTTTACTTTGCTCTCTTTGCAGATGAGTTTTTTTTGTACAGTATATTTGAAAATAATGGCTTTCCAAAATTCCCCAGTTTG